AGACTGAGTGTCTCCGTCTGATGTGCCAGACTCTCCAGGGTATAAGCATAGTTTGGGGGAGGGGGGCTTGTATGCTCCCAACACAAGGCACAATCTTACTCATTCTGAAGTTCATTTTCATTAATATAGAAAAAAGAAACAGAAAAACTACCATCTGACTAGCCACTCCCCTACCTGAATCTCTTTCGCAGCCCCCTGAGCTCCTCTGCTGGTCCCATGGTCAACCCTTCTATCTCACCTGGCGCTGTGGCATCCCCGCTCCACACCTGGCTGCAGAGGCCCCACCTCAAGGGATTTCTCCCAGTGCCTACCTCCAGCCTCAGGGCCTATGCAGGTGCCTTGCTGCCCTCCTGGGTTCCTCTCCCCTACCTTCTCCCCTTTCTCTGGAAATGTTCCTCCTTCAGGCCTTGGTTTCAATTTCACATCCTTCCAGCAGCCTTTCCTGATACCTCTCAGATCACAGCTACCCCTCTGACACTCATTTGTTTGTGTGAGAATCTACCCTTGTTCTCACTCAATTCTGGGGCCTGTCTGTCCTGGTCTCTGCACGGGCCTGACAGAGTGGGTACTAAATGTGTGATCGTTAACTTGCATTTATGACATGCTTACTGTATGCTGCTGTTCTGGGAACTCTTCTAGTATTAACTCATTTAGTTCTCCTGAGACCCTGGCAAAGCAGATACTATTATCACACCCCCACTACACAGAAGAAGAAACATTAAAAGAGGCTGGGCCCCTGCCCAAGGCTGTTAAGAACAGAGCACTCTGGTCTCATGGATGCTGCTTTTAAGCCCCACATCCTGCCACACTTAATGTGCACAGCACTGCCCACCTGCCTCCCCCACCCCAACCCTGTGCCTGGGGATCCTCGGCCCCTGACCTGTGAACTTGCACTGCTCCAGGAAGCCCTGCAGAAAAGACGAGTCTGAGAAGAGCATTTGCTGGAGCCGCTCGGCACCCACGTGGAAGACGGAGTTGATGAGGAGACGGCCAGAGAGGTCAGGAAGCAGTGCGGCCAGGTCTGCTGGGAGACAGAGAGGGGCAGCAGATGAGGCTGCCTGCACGTGTCCCTCCTCGGATCGGTTCCTCGGTTTCCCTCTGGGTGACAGCTCCTCCCTAGTCCCAGCCTTGTGGGGTGGATGGGCAGACCTATCCTCCTACACTGGAGTGGACACTGATACAGCGCACTACTCGGCCCCCTCTGCTACAGGGGTGACTTCAGGGTGGCATGTACCCGGGCCCAGGCCATCAAAGACACCACGGTCAGCTCAGGGTGGAGCACAAACCTAGACCCAGCCAACTGCCGTTCCAGTGATCACAGGGTAGGCACGGGCTCCCACCTCAGCCTGTGACTCTCGCCCAATAATTGGTTCTGGGATATGTGTGTGACCGTAGGCCAGGCCAGGCAGCCACAGTGATTGGTTCACAGGTGTGTGTGTGACCCTAGGAAGTCAGTGATTGGTTCAAGAGTTGGCTCGTTCTCCAATCAGAGCCAACCCTAGAGCTTTTGGTGCAGCCACTGAGAAAAGCATGTTTTCTCTCTGCGAGGCTTGTCTGGGGCAGGGTGGGGGCTCTCTCTGCTCCCACAAGAGGAGAAACTACCTGAGAATAAAGTTGGCACAGAGAAATGGAGATGATGATGATGATGGAAATAATAGCCAACACTTACTAACTGGCCCAAGAACTTCACATACTGTATATTAACTCATAGAATTCTTAATAACAACCCTATGAGGAGGGTATGATTGCTAACCCTCTTTTTCAGATGAGGGTAATGAGGCTCACAGAGGTTAGATAATTTGCCCAGGTTACACAGCGAGGAATCACTGTGGTCAGGATTTAAACCCTGGCGATTTGGCTTCAGAGTCTGTGCTGCCACCCACCCACCCTGCCCTGCTACCTTTAAAGCAGAGCTAGGGCCGACTGAGTGGCTCAGTTGGTTTAAGAGCGTGAGCTCTGATCAACAGGGTCACCAGTTCAATTCCCACATGGGACAGTGAGCTGTGCCCAAGCTGAGCTGCCGCTGAGCTGCCAACAGGTGGCAGGATGGCTCAGCTGGTGAGAGCACGTGCTCCTAACAACAAGGTTGCCGGATTGACTCCCACATAGGATGGTGAGCTGTGCCCACCCACAACTAAAATTGAACACTGCACCTTGAGCTGAACTGCTCTGCTGCTGATGGGCGGCCGATGGCTCGGTGGTTAGAGCGTGCACGCTTAGCAACAAGGTTTCTGGTTCAACTCCCGCATGGCATGGTGGGCTATGCCCACCCACAACTAAGATTGAACACGGCACCTTGAGCTGAGCGGTCACGAGCTGCCAATGGGTGGCTGGATGGCAATGGTGCTTGGAGCTGAGCTAGCTGCACCCTCCACAACTAAGATTGAAGGACAACAACTTGTCTGTTCCCCTTCCCCAGTTCCCCAATAAAATCTTTAAAAAAAAAAAAGGAGAGCTAAAGACAGATGTCTAACAACACCATGTGAATGTTTAACCTGCCCACCCGCTGGATTTTTTAGCCCAGTGAGCCAGCAAATCCCTTGTTTAAGCCAGTCTGAGTAAGGTTTGTCATGTGTAACCGAAGCAAATGATTTGGGCCACCTGCCTCACCTTCCTCCCCCGTGGATGAGGAAGAGTTACTCGTGTCCGTCAATAGCTCCTCAGTAGGCAGCAGGTCCAAGGGGCCCAGGGAAGTGGGCCCGTCAGATGGGGTGGGCTCTGCACTAGGAGGTTCAGCCACCAGAGTCACTGTCTGGCTGGAGGAGGCATCTGGCTGGTTGTCTGTCTGCTGCTCCTCCTTGTCCTCCTCTGCCTGCAGAGAATGGCTTAATCCAATCTTGTCCCACCTCCATTCCAGCCTGAGGGCCCCTCTGTGCCTACATCATGGCCATAAGGATTCAAGACTATAAGAAAAACAATGCTGGGCGGTCACGTGTCTATGTAGGGCTTACAGCTGAGGTACGAGGGGCCCTGAGGCTGCCCAGACACGGCTCCAGGCCTGTCTTGGATACCTGGGCCATAAGCTTTCTCAGGCCTGTCCTGTCCATCTGTCTGTCCTAACCATGCCTTGCCTGTCTCCTACCTCATCCATCCACCCATCTCTTGCCTCTTCTGTCTCTCACTGTCTGTCTGTCTGTCTGTCTGTCTGTCTCCCCTTTGCCTGTCTCTTTCGTTCCCTATTTTTCTTGCCCATCTTCCCAGCTCTGTCCTTTCCCTCCGACCATCCCCTCTTCCCCCTCCATCCACCTTTCTCATCACCCCTGTCCCCTCAATCTGTCCATCAGCCCTCTCCCCAATACCACCCCCAGCCTTCCTGGCTCTCTTCCCCCCAGCATCCTCCTCTCTCTTCCACCTTCCTGCTTACCCCATGGTCTGCATCGCTGCTGGCCCGGGAAAGGTTGGGGGTGATGCGGCCACGGCGTGAGCCCACCGGGCTTGGCTCCTGGCTGTGGTCAGCTGCCCCCGACGGGGTGATGTCACTCAGGGCAATCACATCTCCCACTTCCTTGGGGCTCCTGCAGGGAAAGGGAGGGTGTGGGATAGCTGTATCCTCGAGACTCCACACACCCTCCTGTTCTCCCAGACTTTGTTCACCCACCTCGGTCCACCCAGGAGTCCGAGATCTCTGCGCACATCCCTTCCTGTGTCCCCCGACCCCAGGAACCAGCCGCCAACCTCTGACTCACCCCAGACCGTTCAGCTGCAAGGGGCAGACATAGTCCTCGTCCTCGCTGGTGAGGCCCAGCTCTGAGCCGTAGCACTGATGTACCAGGTGCCAGAGCTCCCGGGGACTCAGCGTCTGGGCAGGCAGGACGAGGGGTTGGCCTCCACCTCACAGGGGCCAGAACCCTTCCCACCCCATCCCCAACCAGCCCTCAGCTTCAGCAGTTCCCCCAGTGTCCACATGGGGGCAGCATGGTCACCCAGCCCAGATCTCACAGCCCAGTAGGGAGGAGCTCAAGGCTTTCCGGGTGGGGTGGGGTGGGGGGGGGCCTCACAATACTTCCACAGTTACAGGTTTATGGTCCCAATTTTACAGAAGAGAATAGGAGACCCTGCATGGGGAGGTCACACAAGTGACCAGAGGCAACTCAGGGATTCAAACCAGCCTCCAGAGCCTCTGCTCTCCCACCCCAGGCTGTCCTGTCCCCAACTATTTTCCAAGAGTTCTCAGGAGCCCTGGGCTGTCAGCTATCCATGGCCAGAAGGGGTGAATGACAATGATGAAATAGTAACAATAACGGCAATAATGAGTGGTAGCAGCAGACACTGAGTTGTTACCATGTACCAGGCATTCTTCTAATGCCTGCACATGAGCTAACTGAGTCTTCAAAAAAATTCTGCAAAGGCGGTGCTCACATCATTATTTTAAGACAATGACACTGTGGCACAGAGGTGCCCAAGTAGCAATGCTGAGATGTGATCCCAGGGGCTGGGCTAGCACCCTAGAGCTACCCACTGGGCTACCCTGCCTCATAAGGGCTGATACTGCTGAGCACTTATTCTGGGCCCAGCTCTGGCTGCTGTGAAGTAGGGACAGTCCCCACCTGACCAATGGGGTTCACTGACTTGCCTCAGGTCACTCAGCTCCTCAGTAACGGGGCTGCAACTCGAACCCTGGCAATCTGGCTTCAGAGCCTGAGCTTTGAACACTCCTCTGCCCTCGCACTCCTTGCAGACTTTGACGCAGCGCTGTTCCCTCTCTCAGGCTCCTGCTCCAGCTCTCTCGTCCCTGATGGCCACAGCTGGCATTGCCCCCGTGAGGACAGGACATGAGCACAGCCCTGCTAGAGGAGCAGGTTTGGGCCCTGGGAGGTACTACTGGCCATCAGCAGCAGACACTGTGCCATGTCTACCCGAAACCTAACCACCCCCCTCCCTGCCAGCAGAACCCTGATTTGAGGGTAAAAATCCTCTCCAGCCCCAGGGATGAATTATGATGATTGGTTTATACTGATCCTTTACTACATTCCCAGCTTCCTTTGCAACCGAAGGCAGTCATGTGACTCAGGTCTAGCCAAAGAAATGCAAAGAGAAGTCTGCTAAAGAAGGCTTTTCTTCCCTTATAAAGGGAAGTCCACTTTCTATCCATCCCTTTCCCCCTTCATGTTTGGGACACTTATGTGCGAGCATGACCCCTGGAGCTGGAGCCGCCATCTTGTAACCACAAGGCAACAAGCATGTGCACACATCATCAATATGCAGGGGGATGACAATGTGCAAAAAGGGACAAGGGTTTGGGTCCTTGATGACATAGGGGAGCCTTCAAACCCAACCTGGACTGCCTGCCTCCAGACCTCTTGTTACATGAGCATCAGTGTGACGCAGTGGTCGGCTGGACACCAGAACCTGACTGCAATGGGTCAGAACCCAAGTTCTGCCACATAAAAGACCATGTGACCAGGGGCAAGTCTATCCCTCCGTGCCCCATTAGTGAAATACTGGGTTGTCGGAAAAGTCATGACGTATTTCTTCTATGTTTTTCGTTGCAAAAATGCATCATGACTTTTCCGACAACCCAATACAAATAATAACCATACTGCCTTGCAGAGTAGTTGTGAAGATTAAATGAGTTAATTCATGTCATGTTCAGATCAGTGCCTGGCACCCAGTAGCACCATAAGTGTTAGCTATTAATACTATTATTACCTTATGAAATAATTCAGTATCTGTTTGCTTAAACCATTGTTTGGTTGGGTTTTCAGTCATTTGTAGCCAAATGCATCCTACATAAACCCATGCAACCACAGTGAGCATTCCAGGAGAGCCCGCTCAGGACTCTCAATAGACGATCAGATTGTGGTAAGTCTAAAATAAAATCCCTTACACAAAACCTTTGGGGCAAGACATGATTCAAATTGAGATCTGGGATTTAAGAAAAATACCACAGTGCCAATACCGTATGCTGTAATACAGCACCAATAATGATAAATGCATTGTGTTTAGTGTCCAGTGCAGTGTACACCAGAGGTTCTCGGTGTGGTCCAAGGATTTCTGGGGGTCCCCTAGACCCTCTCATGAGGTCCATGAAGTCAAAATTACTTTCCTAAGCATGATAACGTTACTAGTATGAGATGTTGCTTGCCCTTTTCACTGTTATTCTCATGAGTATGCAGTGGAGTTTTTCAGAGGCTATATGAACAGGCAATGCTGTCATTTTTCTGGCAGCTAATGCAATGTGTGTGCTTGTGTATTCTTGTGCTTAAAACTTTCCCAGTTTCAATTCCTAATACAGTAAATAAGGACAGATATAACCCACTTACACAAACGCTCTTTGGAGTCTACAATTATTTTAAGGAGCGTAAAACGTTCCTAAAACTATAAAGCTTGAGAATCACTGGAATACTCTATATTGGATACTATAACTTTATATTGAATTACAATTACAGCTAAGATTTACACATACTCATTAATAACTTTTTGTCCTGAAACACATGAATAGTCACATTAATTGAGCTAAATATAGACCTGGGCTATGCAAGAAGCATGCATGGCCATTTAAGTTTAAATTAATTAAAATTAAATTAAAAATGCAGATCCTCAGTCACACTAGCTACTTTTCAAGAGTTCAATAGGCACATATAGCCAGTGGCTACTGTACTGAACAGTACACGAATTGAGAATACTTCCATCAATGCAGAAAGTTCTTAGATAGTAGTGATATACACGATTAAAAAAAACTGTTATTAGCTCTCATCAGATCTTGCTGCCACACATAAAAAAAAAAACACATCCTCATTTTCAGAGCATTTTTGATTAGCAGATGATGAGGAAGGGGCCATGGATACACATTTCTAGTGGGCAGGGTCTGGCACTGGAGCTTGGGCTGGCCTCGGATGCAGCCTATGGAGGAAGCAGCCTGTGCACTGGGCCAGATGCCCATGGAGAAGAGCTGGGGAGTCCTCCAGGTCCCTGAGTTCTGGCATCCCTGGCCCCATGCTCTACCCTTGCCCACCTGCTAAGCTCCTGGCCAGGTCTCACGCAGGCTCACCTTTTCAAGCAGCGCATTCTGCCAGAGGCGGAAGATGAGAAGGAAGCAGCGGTCCCGGGCACCGAAGGAGGTGAAGAAATGCTGCAGGAGAGAGAGAGGAGGTTAGAGGGGGTGGGGGAGAAACAAGGCCAGAGGAAGGGGAAGCTCCACCCCCATCCATACTCTGCTCCTGATCTACATCCTGATGTATCCATTCATTCACCCCTGCATTCATTCCACAAAATGTTTATCTTGTGCCCAGCCCAGCACTGGACCCTGGAGTCACTGTGATAAGGAGATGACCCTTGTCCCTGTCCCCAATGTTCACAGTCCAGGGTGGAAGACAGGCATATCTCCAGATGAGGTCAGCCCAGAGTGACTGGGCTATGAGGGAAGAAACCCAGGGCATTTTCCCAGTCTCCTTCGCCCACTAGAGGTGGTCAACTGATCTTCTGGCCAATAAAACAGAAAGGGAAGTCTACTGTGAAGTGTCACGCGCGCGCGTGTGCGCGCGTGTGTCCAGCACCCTTCCCTTCTCCCTTCCTGTCTGGGCCATTGGTGTGAGGCAGCCATCTTGGGCCCATGAGGCAACAATCATGATGACAGCATGGAGAAACAGGGAAGGCTTCCAAGGAGAGAGGACCTCTGAGTGGCCGCTACATGGCAGGGAAGAATTTTACTGTTAATATTATCTCTGAGCAGCCGTGTGAGAGGACAAACTGCAGGGACTAAGCGAGGAGGGTAGTGTGGAGATCCAGGTCAGAGATGATAGGAGCCTGACAGATAAAGCAGCAGACTGAGAGCAGTTCAGGGTGCAGAACAAACAGGGCTGTGGTGCGGGGAGGAGGGAGGAGACGGTGAAGACGAGTGACCACGTGGCCCTGTCAGCAGGTCCTCTTGCTCACCTTCTCGCTCTCTGTGCAGATCTGGATGGCGTTGGGGATCAGCTTAGCCGTCTTTTCCTTCTTCAGGCATGTTACTTCCTTCAGCTGGATGGAAATCTAAGGAGGACAGGCAGGTCAGAAGGGGCTAGGGCCTTGCCTGCCCTGGGGCCCCTCCTTGTCCCCACGCCGGCTCACGGTCGTCTCCCAGCGAAAGATGTTGCTGTAGAAGCAGATCCAGTTCTCAGAGAGATAGAGGCGGCCCTGGAGGAGGATCTCACGCTGCAAGGCACAGGAGTAATCTGAGGCGGCCGGGGAGAGACGGGCAGACACCCGAGTCACACGGCTGGCCTGGCCAGCACCCAGGCGGGGAGGGCTGCGAGGGCAGAGCTGGGAGCTCAGGGTTGGGTTCAGGACAGGGTGGGCATCAGGACTCACCCACAATGAGGCGTTCGGCTTCAGGGAGTTTGCTGAACAGTTTCCGGAAGTCCTCGTTCCGTTGTTTGTACGTGGGGCTCAGCATCTAGGGGAAGTTTAAAAGGTGAGGACCCAGATGGGGATTCACACCCCGAATGCTGCCTCACAACACTCCCAGAAGCCCCTCAGTCACCTCTGCCCCGGGCAGGTTCTCGGAGGCGTTAAGTCTAGCTTACTCTGGCTTCCACTGCCGGTAACACGAGAGGAACCATGATGAGAGCTTCCATTTACTGATTTCTACATAAGCCAGGCCCTGGGTCATGTACCCACCAGCATCACTGACTCAGTGAAAGTTCCCTTCAGCCTTGTAATGTTGGGACTGTTTTAAAGGAGAGGCCCAGAAACCGTAAGCAACTCACTCAAGGTCACACAGCACGTAAGTAGCAGCAGAGGGTGTGACCCTAGGTCTGCTGACCCTAGCACCCACTCCTTGATCGCTGTCCCCCTCCCTTCCACCCCTCCAGCAAGCCCCCCTGCCCAACACTTACACTGTACCAGCTCTGCATCTTCTGCAAGAGAAAGAAGGGGGGTCAGAACAAGCCCCTGGATTCCTCCGCCTCCCACTCTTCTCTCTACCCTCCCTAGGCTTGCACCAACCTTGCTGTTGCGGATGAAGTTCCGGCTGCCCAGGCTCTGGGTGCTGGGTGTTCCAGACACCCCACCCTTCTCTGAGGAGCTATCTGACCCCTTCTCCACCATGGTACCTGGTTCCGGCTCAGGCGGGGGTCGGCTTGGAGGCAAGAGCTGCAGCCGCTTACGGAGAGATGGGGAGCTGCTTGGCGTGCTCCGCCCAGAGTGGGGGGTGGTACTGAGGATGGGGGGGGGGGAAGAGAGGGATCATGGGGAAAAACAAGTCAGGGTGTGGACACAGGCCTGTTATGGGAGGCTCACCCATCAGCCCATTGATCCCCACCCATCCATTCGACTCCACTTCCTAGAAGTGTGGCCCAAAGCAGGCTCCCTAGCTCGGTTACCTCCATTACTTCATCTGTGATCCGATCCAGGGGAAACATACATGTCCTCATCTGGTTATTTGAGGGTTAAATGAATCAGTACGTGTACAGGGCTTCTAACAGAGCCTGGCATACCATGAGCTCTCAATAAGACTGCTATTTTTTTAATTAACTTATTCATGCGTACAATAAATATTTACTGAGCAGCCACTTTCCACTCAGTTGCTTTAACTAAAAACCTAAGCATTTTATTTTCTTTCTTGCTCACCCCTCACTTCTAATCTGTTAGCAAATCCCACCTGGTCCACCTCCAAAATCTATAGCCATTATTTCTATTATACACACTCCTGCTCCACGGCCCTGGCCCAGCCTCCATCCTCTGCCACCTGCACACCAGGCACCTCCTCCCTGGTCTCCTGCCCCTGTCCACCCCCACGCACACACGTGCGTGAGCGAGGTCTGCTTCCTACATGCTGCCAGAGGGAGCCTATGAACCCCCGAGTCAGGTCAGGGCCTTCCTGGTTGAGCCATCCCCCCACTGCAACTCACTCCAGCAAAAAGCAAAGTCTTCATCTTGACACCCAAGGCTCTAGTGTGGTCCCCGTCACTCCCTTCATCCCAGCCTCCTCTTGCTCATTAAGTTTGCCAATGCTATTCCCGAGTCAAGGCGTCTGCAATTCTGTTCCCTATGCCTGGAATGTCCTTCCACAGCCCCAGCGAAAGCAGCTCTGTCTTATTCCGCTCAAATGCTCCTCCCCTGGTGGCCCAACCTGAAGTAGCCCCCAACTCCCAGTCTATCTCAACTCATCTTGATGGCTTATTTGGTTTGTTCATTGTCTGCCCAGACTGTGCACTTCAGGAGATCTCGGCTGCCACTGTGTTCCCAGCACCCAAAACTATAAGGGGCACAAAGTGAACCCTGAATACACATTAGTGACTATGTGAATCATCTGAATAATCCAGGCCCTGCCTGGAGGTGGGAGCAGCAGAGACCACCAGGCAGGGTTCCTGCCTTACGGAATCAGCCTCCTGCTGGGAGGCAGCCCCTGAACAAACAGAACTCTGCAGAGGACTGAATAAACACAAACTGCCATAGGGCAGTGGAGTCAGTCCGGGGAACTTTAAAGGGACAGTTTTGTTGACTTTTGTTATCAGGACCTTGGCAAGCTCTGCATATGATTCATTGTAAGGTTCCTCACACAAAGCTATGCATTTGACAGTTACCACGCGCACATCACAGAGGAACAGGCTCAAAGCAGCGAACCCACCGGAACCCACCCAAACCTCTCGCCCAAGGACACACAGCTGGTTTAATTCGGGGCAAGGTTCCGATGTGAGGTCCTTAATCTACCCTGGGGAGGAAGTGGGAGACCTCAACCACTTGGGGCTCCTCAAACGTCTCTCCCCTGCCTCCAAGCTTTAGCACACTGTTCCCTCTGTCCAGACCGTCCTTTCTCCTTTGACTAGCAAACTCTTCTACATCCTTCAGGATTCTTGCTCACAAACCCCCTTCCGCCGGGATACTGCCTCCCTTCTGTGGGTCCCCACAGCTCCCATCCCAGCCCTAACCACTCTGCCTCTGCTTCCCTCATCCCAGCCCTGATTACTCTGTGCTGTCACTGTTTGATGACAGCTCCATTTTCCCCACAGGTCTGTGAGCTCCCTGACGGCAAATCTTGGTGTCAAGTATTGCTCAGGACGGAGTCTAAAGTAGGCAGTCGTGTCATACGTGTGAAACAAATTTGTGGAATAAAATAAATGAGATGGTGACCTGAACCACCACCACTCTTCCTGAACTATTGAAACCACCTTCTCTCAAGGTCTCCCTGCCCGGAGCCTGTGCCCTGATAAAGTGAACTAGCATCTTAAGATGCTTAACCATAGAGTTGGGAGGACTATGGGTGGAGCTGGGCCCCTTGTTAACCCTATAATCCTGACTTCCCATTCATCCTTATGGTAATTCTGGGGGTGGGATCATAATAAAGGCATTAGCCATCTTGAAACCGTGGTCTTTTTGTCTCCATGTGGGCTGCCAGTAGGAGCTCCGTGTGGGAGGTGTGCTTTCCGCACTGCGGTGGTGGTCTTGCTTTTCTTTTCCTGAATAAACCGTTTCTTTTGTGGATTACTTGGAGAGTTATTTTTCGCAGGTTCAACAGCCCCCACATGCAGACAGAGGAAACCAGTGAACCTGAGTCAGGTTAGGGCCCTCCTGGTGAGCTCTCTCCTGGCTGCACCTCACTCCAGCTATTATAAAAGCCCAGGGCTGGACCCTCTCATCACCGCCAGCTTCTGCCTTGACTGTGCCCTCTGCCCAAATGCCCTTCCTCCCAGATGTCTGCAGGGCTCCCTTACTTCTTTCAGATCTCTTCTCAATGGACATTTCTTGAAGATAACCTTCCCTCACCAATTTAAACCACACTCCCCATCTCCTGACCCCGTCCCTCTTCATCTCTCTCTCCTTAGCACTTCCCCCACGTGCCCTCCTGTATTTTCCCTTGTTTCTGATCATCCCACACAGGAGGTGCACTCCAGGGGAAGGGTGTTTTGCTCCTAGAATGAGGCCTGGGCATGGTGGGTGCTCCTTGAGCATCTGCTCTTGTGGATGGAATGAATGAATGACCCTCCACCCCCTCCTCACAGAACTTGGATTCAACCAGGTGTGCGACTTGCCCACCCCTCCACAGGCTGAGGCTGTGCCAGGTCTCAGTTTGATTACTTCCCTGTGTGACCTTGGGCAAGTGTCTAAACCTTTCTGTGTCTCAATTTCTTCTTAAATATAGAGGGAATGTAACAGTATCCACCTCACAGAGTTGTCTGGAGGAGGCCATACATACATACAGCCCACCAAATGGAGAGCACTCTAGTGTGATCATTTGGGACTGTCAGACTAAAATGGAGTACAGGGCCCTGCCACCGCCCTAGTGTACCTGTGTCCAAGCTGCTATGCTGACCCCAACAAGTGCAGTACAAACACCTCAGCCTGGCACACGGAGTCCTAACTGACCCCAAACTGCCGTCATTCACTCTCTAAGTATGCAATGACCACCTGCCCTGCACCAGGCACTAGGCACACCCAAGTGAGCAAACCAGGTACAACAATCCCTGTCCTCGGGCCCTGACATTCTGGTTGGGGAACAGACTATCGATAAGGAAACACATAAATGAGAATGATGATCTCACTGACACTGGTCACGCCAACAGCACCAGTAGCACCTGGAAGTTGTGAGAAATGCAGGTTCTGGGACCCATTGCAGACTTCCTGAATCAGAGACAGGGTGGGGCTCAGGAGACTGAAGTTCGTTCAAGCAGGAGGACCACAGTGATAAAGGACGGCAAGTGGGTGGGTG